TATGGTTTTAATTTATCATACCCATCTACATGCCAAATGTAATTGGGACCAGCTGATCTGTAAGTCTACGTCTGAGGGTTTTCCACGTCTCTCCTAACACCATCAGGGTCCAAAATTTCACAATAAGTCGAAACGTTTCGCGAGACACCTGAAAACCACGAAGTTGCAAAGTGTGTTAAATTGGTCGATAACCCCCCGAGTTACAGGGCCATCCAATTCTTTGATGAAATTACGGATGACACAAATATCTCCAACACTGCATTTCTTTTTCGCAAGCCCAAAGAGGCAATTTTGCTTTTTAAGCTGCGTAGAGACATTTTATGTCGTGGTACTTGGCAAGAAACATACGAATTTTTCATACACCAAACCTTGTCTAAAATAGCGAACAATCAATTCATCACAACACGTTTCGTTGTCATCTAGAAAGACTGTCTCAACATTGTCAGCTCTTGATATAGTAGATGAATTGGAGCCACAATATGGGCAAAATTGATAACTATTCTCCAACGCTTCTCCGCAAAATGAACAGAACATTACTCCAAACGATAGCAAATTAAAAACGAAAGGCGATAGCAAAGAATTAGAAATCAAAACCATAGATATAGTAGGTCTAGATTACTAACGAGCCGCCATATTGCGTGACATCCATGATAAATCCAAGATGGCGTGGGAACCGGGCAAAAAACATAGAGTCACTATAGGGCAATTGATGTTTTTCGCAATTTACTCCTTCTCATTGTTTTCAAACTCTTCCGATGAAGTTTTATTGGAAACAAATCTTTATTTCAAGTGTTTTGAAACCATATTGGACAGTTATAATTGAAATACGGGTGAAAATATCGCTTTCGAAATATTGTGTAAATTGGTCGTTATGTGGTCTCAAGTCGTTTGTCCACTAAGAGAAACAGATTTTTTCAGCTTTAACTCCCATACTGATTTGTTGCGCATCGGAATATGTCATATTGACAATTTACAGAAAGATTGGGGAATCAATCTGAATATTTCTGACAAAAAAGCGACTCATTCGAGAAAGCACTCCCACTGTACTCGTACTAATACGTGAGATATGTGAGATTCAAACACGGTTTAGAAAGGCCATCCGACTTTGAATGAATGAAAAGAGGAGCAAGGAGATACATAACAATGCAGCACTATTATCTACTGACAAGATCTTAGCGAAGCTATTAAAGTTAGTAAACCTAACTGAAGGAAACTTGCCTCATATCAAATAATTGTATCCAGGAGCATTGGCTATACTGATGAGATCTTACAGCTAAGAGGTTCAACGAAAGAGAAGGAACTTATCTTCAGAAGCTTGTTATATTAACAGTGGTTATTTCAAAATCTGACATAATTACATTCAAACACATAACCCAAGATACTGTTACAATACTATTTTTTGAGAGAGTTATAAAGCTCTGTTAAAGTATTTTACCAGAGCTAAGGTGTTCATTAACTTTATATATTATCTTATGAAATATTTGATATGGATGTCATCGGTGGCATATCCAGAATGAATGTTTTACACTTGCTATGTAAATTTCACTGCATCATTGCTCATTCATTAGAAATCTATTGTTTTACAGTGAGTGAAAACAGCAAGATTGAGATAGCATGAGCAAATAGAAATGCTGGCTATGGCTGAGATTATTATAAGATATAGCTGTGAATAAAATATATGTGACTTTTATGCTTATCATACTTAGTTATAGTATATGTTTTTATTATGCTATAGCTACAACACCATCTATGATACCAGTTGTTTCAATGGCAATACAATTTTATAACTACAAATGTCTAAATTGCATCACATTATTAACATGCAACTAATGACTTCTGACAAAAATTGTATCATACTGCTCAGTTGGTTCATTTTATGACACTTACGTACAAAGATAAGTAAACTACTGATATTTCTTTGTTCAATACATGACAGCCCCAGCAACTGCCAACTGCTCTATTGTAAGTGAAAGCAGGCTAGCTGAAGAGACACAAAATGTTGATGTACTGACCTATATCAGTGGATACATAGCCAAGAAAATTACAAGTTGCATCAAGTGTGCTGAATGTGCAACTGCCTTAACGATTGAGAATGATGACCAACCTCTCATACCTGACCACTCATACTGTCATGAAGGTTCATTAAAGTCAAGCTTAACATCTTTCAAGACCTTACAAGTCCATCCTCCTCATTGGTAAAAGTAGTAAAAGCAGCAGATAAAGCCCTTCGATGAAGATTTTTTTTTTTTTAATGAAGATGTGTAAAACGTATTTTATTATGATCATTATATATTACAAATATAAATGTTAAAAAACTAAATCAAATATGACTAAAATCAGTGTTTAAAAATATCCATGATAAAAGGGACAGTCAAGTGTAAAGACAACTTTCCCAATAACCTAGGTCAATATTTAAAGTATGTTCGCGAGTTGAGGCAGATCGACTTCCTCGTATTGCAGTAATTGCTGACCTAATCAGTGCGAAAGATAGTTTACAACGCATCCACGCTAGCGTGATGCCATATGCAGCTTTCTCTTTTGTGCCAGCAGATCAGCTAGCCGTTTATAAGCAATTGCCGTCTCTTTCCCCATACCACCTGATGTTGAAAAGACCAGTGGTGTAAAAGCAGCATATTCAATCTCTCTTACTCGATCACCATATTCCCTTTTCTTAGCCATCTCATGCTGACGATAGAGTGCAGGTAGATTGGTGTTTTGGTAGCTCGACGCGTTTGGGTGAAATACCCTTACATCAAAAAATGCATCTTGCTGTCTAGACCAAAAACCTTTAGCACGAATATCTAGTCTCGCTTCTTCTTGTCTATTGGCTGTACGAGGTAATATCACTTCCCCAGAAAGAGGTTGTAATTGTGGTTCTTTCACAACTGTCGAGCAAACTTCAGCCATCCACTGTGCTGTTATATCTCGAACTTCATTATGTCTCACTATTGGTAAACCACCATGAGGACATATCATCGCGTGATCGGTTGCAAAAGCCTTTCCACAAATGCAGTGCAGAGGGATATTTTTCAGTTGCCATCCATAACGTAAACTTAATGCATCTCGAAATTCCCCTTTGTTCAAATTAAAGCCTTGATCTTGTAATGGAAGTACACTTAACCATGATGACGATCCTTTTTCGCTCAGTATATCTAGCTTCCTTTGCATTGTTGGCGTAGAACTATCTCTTATATCCTGGATCAAATCATCCACTTTCTTCTTCTTTTGCTCTCGTAAAGTCATTTTGATTGACTGTAACTGAGGTTTATGAAGTATCTCTTTCTGTTGAACAATCATCTCTTTTAGGCATTGGCTGATCTTTTTGGAGGCAAGATATTCTTCATTTGCACTTTTAACTGGGTTGATAATATTTAGACCACCAAATCGTATAGGAAGAGAAAGGAGTGTTCGCTCATCTGGATTACATTGGTTTCTTCCAGTGAGTGATGGTATAAATGTCTGCGAAATTGCATCTTCCAGAGGTTGAAATAACTCACTGATGTTCTCAACTGTTCGCATTATATAGCGCCACTTTCCCATTATACAATGAGAAAATGCCGCAAACGCTGATTGGGGATAACGTTCTGCAATCTTTGAAAGACTTTCAATTTCTTCCACAAATACCCTAATCTTTCTTGCCATATACTCATGGACGAACAAATTGGAGCCAATTGCTGATCCCAACATTCCATGGCCTTCAGTTGTTATATTAATATCTGTTCCTCCAAAATGGTTTATCGCTTCTTTCAAGTGCTGTGACTTAACAACAAGATACGTTTTACTTCCCTTTGGAAAGTAACCCATCATTGGCCCAATGTCAGATATGTTTTGCCACCATCTTCTTAAAGACTTTATTTTCCCACCACATGTAGCATCATCAGCAAACCACATTTGCTTGACTGTTGGTTCTTCTGATCTAAGCCTACGAATCAAAGGTGTAACTGCAAGTGCATACATTGCCATTGCGAGCGGGTCCCCTTGCGTAATCCCTTCTTGCGTAATCCCTTCGATGAAGATTAATTTTCCCATCCTTTTGTATGTATTCAATATCATGTATTTCAATGTGGACGAACAATTATTGGAACTAAAGCAGACGTGTTGGGGATCGCCTCCCAAGTTTCTCCCAACACTTCACAAATTTTAACAACAGGTTTTATGAAGATATTTTTATTTCACAGTCCCAAAACAACCAGATTATAATAACACGCGTTCTCCTTTTTATCGCAATTTGCATATCACCCCATTTTCCTTGCTTACTATTGGTGCGCTCAAGTGTTTGTTACAACTACTTATCTAAAAGAAGGCGAGTCTCTGACACTCTCCCCCCATATACCTTGATTTATAAGGTGTATGTAACCTTTAAGAGACTGCCTTCTGTAAACAAAACAAAAGTTTATAAAGTTCAACAAAGTGTTTGTTCATTGCCAAAAGTTTTGTCCTTCTTCCAATCTCTTTCAAACTTCTAACTCCGTTACTTCCTTGATACGTTGTTCTGCTGCTACTGCGGCGTCTCGTTTAGGTTTAAACGCTGGTGCTCTGGGATCAATGGCACGGGTTCGGTTCAACACGGTCGCATGATAGCTCTAGCGGGTAAAGTGGTTCACTGCTCTCTCCAAATAAGTTTTCCCGCACGAAGTTTTACGGCACGAACAACACCATCTCGCCCATTATACAACTCCTCCACGATTCCAAGAGGCCATTTACCACGACTTCTCTCGTCTGATCGTATGATAACAACATCCCCTTTTTCACAGTAAATGTTGTTTGTTTGTGTTGTTGGTTGTGACGTACACGCAATCCTCTTAGATACTCATTAGACCATCTCCGCCAGATAGCTTGCTTGCATTTCAACAAATACTTAGCCCGTTACCGTTGGTCCCTTTCTTCTATGTGATGTGCTTCCAGCTCTGGTGCGAATGTACAACCAACGAAGAGCATGGAGTTAGGGGTCAATGTTGGAAGTTGAATATCATCCTCCATGTAACTTAATGGTCTATCGTTCAAAGCCACTTCAACATCCAAAGAACATCCTTTAACTCTTCCCAATTCAGCAATCCATTTCCGATCGTCTTATGAAGAGCCCGTTTGACCAATCCGATTAGGCGCTCGAATTGACCGCCCCACCACGGGGCACGACTTAGATTGAACTGCCATTTCACCTGATTCTTGCTGAAACTCGTTAAACCGTTCATCCCTCTGAGCCTCCGTAACCACTTTGCTGCTGCAACAAAAGTCTTCGCATTATCAGAGTATACCTTGTTCGGTCTTCCCTTCCTAGCTATGAACTGTTTGAAACTTTCCATAAAGCGTTGGGTATCCAAACTCGGCATCAACTCGAGATACACAGCTCGCGTTAGGCTGCAGGCATAAAGTAAGACATAAGCTTTTCCCTGTTCCTTTTTCTTCCTTTTGTATTTAAGTGGTCCGGCGAAATCAACACCAACAGCTTCGAACGGGCGACTTCCTTCAGTTCGATCTTGAGGTAACAATCCAGGCGGTGGTTGCTGCACTGCTTTCGCTTGGAAACGACGACAGCCATAGCACGCTTTGATTATTCTACGTGTTAATTGCCTTAGTCGAGGTACCCAATACCGCTCCCGAACTCGAGCCATGGTCATCCCAACTCCTCCGTGGAGAGTTTGAAGATGGGCGTCTTCCACAAGCTTGGTTGTGAATAGGTGTTTGTCTGATAGGTATACGGGATAATGCCCATGAATCCGCCCTCTGCATTCCATGATACCTTCGTGATCCTCTTGAAGATTAAGTCGACCTTTGTCGTCTAAACAATCACAACTTTGCTGCACTCTTTTCTCCCAGAATTTATACTGTCGTTCAATCTCATCAGTCGTTAATGGTCCAACTACTCGGCTGTTCACATGTCTGGCATTTGTGATAAACCTTTTTATCCAAGCACACACTCTCATAACCTTCCTTAGAGACGAAAACTTCTAGAGGATGTAATCAAAACAATCTGAGTTGTCCATTTGTACGCCCAGTACTGTTTTTATGACCTTTGCTTCCTTCTCACTCTCTTTGGTCGATTGAGTTACAATGTCTTGTGGTCACTCATTGATGTTTTGGAGCCAATGTGGTCCATTCAGCCACAACTTGTTTTCTTTCACAGTGCCACCTCGACTTCCCACATCAGCAGGATTTTGATCGGTTGGTACATATCGCCATTCGATACCCTGTTTGGACTGGATCTTTTGGACTCTGTTGGCCACAAACTGTTTATATTCTCCTCCTCCTTTGATCCAGTGCAGTGCCACGCTACTGTCGAGCCAGGCATACGTCCCTTCCACTGGGAATTCACTTAGGACCTTCCGCACATTGTCCACAATGTTACAAGCCATGTGCGCTGAGACCAACTCCAACCTGGGGATTGTTATTCCTTGTTTGGCTAATCTGGCCTTTGCTGTTATGATGCCTTGTGTTGAACCAGAGGATTGCTTGACAACAGCATAAACAACTGCTGCCACTCCTTTCCGCTCGCGTCTCCAAACGCATGTAGCGATATTGAGTCGATCTCTTCTTGGAAGGTGGGGATTGAACGAGGTACAGAAATATTGTTTGGCAATTGTTTTCCCAGTTCGTCCATTTAGCCTTTTGTTCGTCAGATAATGGTGCATCCACGGTAATTTCATCTCACACACTTCACGATATATTAATTTTCCTTGCAACGTTCTTGGCGACAGTAACCCTAGTGGATCGTAGATCTGAGCCAGTTTGCTTAAAATTCCTCGTTTTGTTGTAGTAGCTACAGTTGAAGGAACTATGACCTTTATCTCGTCCTTATTCTTTGACCAACCTAATCCCAGAATACTCGCTTCTTCCTCAGTAGGTGTTCCTAGTTGTTGCTTTGCAAAGGTTTCTTCATCGGTGATGCAATTCATGTCTTCTAACTCCTTCTTATTCGAGTGCCATTTGTGCAGAGTAAACGTCGCATCGTTAAAGATTTCTATTGCTTCTTTCTTCCACTCTCGCGCTTTTGCTATCGTTGTCGTTCCACTTACTAGATCATCTACATATAGGCTTTTGCACAATTCAGTTACCACTTCTGGTCTGCGGTTTTCCCAACAGGTGAGATGTTGGTCAATCACTCCCCCAAGGAGAAACGGCGATGACGTTAACCCGAACAACGCTCTTGTAAACCTCAGTGTTTCAATTTCACGAGTTGCATCTGGGCTCCAGTGGAATCGTAGTGCATCCCTGTCACCTTCCTTGATTCGAACTTGCAGGAACGCTTGTTTAATATCTCCAGACAGTGCGACAGGATGAAATCTCATTCTTACTAAAATGTTCCAAAGATTGTTCTGGAGTGGAGGGCCTGGGTTTAAACACTGGTTCAGACTTGGAGCTTCATTATTGGCTTTGGCAGAGGCATCGTACACGATTCGAACCTTTGTGGTTTCTGCTCTTTCTCTGACCACTGGTTTATGCGGAATATAGAATTCAACACCTCGGGCTTCATGTTTAGCAGCTTCAACGATCCCTTCGACTTTCTGCTGCTCAATGATTTCAGAATAAGAATTAGTCAACCCCTTCTGATGCAATCTGCGTTGAAGGTTTGCTAGTCTTCGTAAACTTCCTTTATAATTACTTTGTAGTTGTGGGTGATTACCCTTCCATGGAAGGCCAGTTTCATACCACCCTTCTTCACTTCGCACAAGCTGTTCTTGAAACTCAGCATAAACTTCATGTTGATCATTTTCAGGTTTGTCAGCCAAACCCAGGACATCTAACCGACACAATTCTTCGTAGTCGCTTTGGCTTGTTTGTGAAAGAAACATAACAGCGTAGTCCAGTTCTTTGCCTTGTGCCAATATAGTCCAGCCAAACTTGGTTTTTTCAGCAACAGGTTCTCCCACCTTTCCGACGCAGGGTTTCTCAGACGTCTTTATGCGCATGTAGTCTGTAGCTCCCAGGACTTAATGCACAGGGAGTCTTGGTTTTTGATCATCGTCTTCTATCTTCACACCCGCTAAATGTGAATAAGAACTTACTAATGCCTTATAATTTGGGTTGTCCCCAAACAGTAGTTCTCCCTTATTTACTTTGGTTACGTTCACGTCCATCTGAAATTCCCCTTTGACATCTTTTACACCTATGGTTGACAGTTCCATTTCCTTGGTAACTGAGGTGAGCATCATTTCGACACGTCGTGTTTCCTTTCTATAAGATCGTTTTGGAAGTAAGTCTAACAAGGCTGCCGATGCATAAGAATTACCAGAGCCTGTATCTAGAAGCGCACGACACTTTATTCCTTCTACATTCACCACAACGGTTGGATATACGGCTGGCCCATCACCTGCCGTTAAAAGCTGATCTTTCTTTGTGCATATCGACGAATGATGTTTACCATTGCACTTTGAACACCTATGAGAACTCTTACAGTCAGCGGCGCGATGTTTTGTCCCCGTGCAATTGAAGCAAAGTTTTTTCTCAGCTAATAATTTCTTCCTCTTATCGATGTCGGATACAACCGTGTAATCAACAGCGCTGTGATTTTCAGAATTACAATAAACACACCTACGCTTACGTCGCTCACTGCCTGCTACAAGTAAAGGTTTCCGAGTTTTCTTAGAACTTCCACTCTCTTCGGCTGGATTGATGTCTCTCCACTTCTTCAGTTCTGAAATAAGATTTGTCAGATTCCAATCTTGCCAACCTTCGTTACCTCGCACAAGATCAGCTTTAATTCCCTGGTTTTCCCATATTCACTTTCAGTACATTCTTTGCTCTTTGATATCCTTCTGTTGTGAAAGGTAATCCTTCGATTTCCGTTCTAACTTTCGGTTCTAACCATTCTTTCAGGTACGCAAACTTAGTAACAGGGGGTACGTCAGATTTATATGCCTCTGCTTGAAACGTGTTCCAAAACGGAAGCCAGTTTGCATAATTCCCGTCAAATTTTGTTACAGGAAGTTTTGGTAATTTAATACTTGCATTTTGTTCGGATCTTTTCACCGACTTCTCTACCGCTTTTTGATGCTCCAATTGTTGGTTTAATAACTCCGATTTGTATTGAAGTTCTCGCTTACGCTCTTCTTCTTTTGCTGCCTGTTCGAGCTCGAGTTTTCGTTTCTCAAATTCTAGTTGCCTTTGTCTGTCAACTTCCGTAGCAGCATGTGCTGTTTCTTGAGCTTCAGATTTTTGATTTCCTTCGATATAATTTATTCGTTCTCGTAATTCACTCACTTTGCTGTCAGCTTCGGTAATTTTCAATTCAATTTCTTGTGCCCACGATTGGACGTCTTCGTCAGATTCGCCATTGGTAAACTTAATCTCCTCGACTTCATCTTTTAAATCGCACACTGTTTTTATCCGATTTGTTACCGAACTGATTTGTCGCGTTAAAACCTCTACTTTTGTAGAATCCATTACTTCGGTTGATTTTCTGATGGCAAAGCTTAATGCTTTGAATTTGCCAGTCAATTCTCTTTGCTTTTCGTCTATTGTCTCGGTCATCATCGATATTATATTCACGCCACGCACTAATCTCCCGTTAAATTTGTGTCTTAGTTTGAACTAAACCACAGCCAAAAATCCCGTCGGAGGTGCCACTATGTTGGGGATCGCCTCCCAAGTTTCTCCCAACACTTCACAAATTTTAACAACAGGTTTTATGAAGATATTTTTATTTCACAGTTCCAAAAAATAACCAGATTATAATAACACGCGTTCTCCTTTTTATCGCAATTTGCATATCACCCCATTTTCCTTGCTTACTATTGGTGCGCTCAAGTGTTTGTTACAACTACTTATCTAAAAGAAGGCGAGTCTCTGACAGACGAAATCCGTTTAGTTTGGTAGACAAACGCCTCGAGACAACCAAACAACCAATTTACACAACAGTTCGCAAGCGATATTTTCGCCTGTATTCCAATAATAATTGTCTAATATGGCTTCAAAACATTATTAATAACGCTTTGTTTCCAATAAAACTTGATTGGAGGAGTTTGAAAACACTGAAACGAAGTAAACTGCAAAAAACAACAATTGCCTAATACAAGCCCTAAGTTTTTTGCCCGGTTCCCACGCCATCTTGGATTTATCATGAATGTCACGCTGCCGTCTTAATAAGTCTTATATTACGTCACACTCGTCAGCGATCTAGACCATAGATATAGTAGGACTAGATTGCTGACGAGCCGCCATATTGCGTGACATCCATGATGTGTTTATTACACAGAGCTAAGGTGTTTATTAAATTTATATATTATCTTATGAAATATTTGATATGGATGTCATCGGTGGCATATCCAGAATGAATGTTTTACACTTGCTATGTAAATTTCACTGCATGATTGCTTATTTCATTAGAAATCTATTGTTTGTACAGTGAGTGAACACAGCAACATTGGGATAGCATGACCAAATAAAAATGCTGGCTATGGCTGAGATTATTATAAGATATAGCTGTGAATAAAATATATGTGACTTTTATGCTTATGATACTTAGTTATAGTATATGTTTTTATTATGCTATAGCTACAACACCATCTATGATACCAGTTGTTTCAATGGCAATACAATTTTATAACTACAAATGTCTAAATTGCATCACATTATTAACATGCAACTAATGACTTCTGACAAAAATTGTATCATACTGCTCAGTTGGTTCATTTTATGACACTTACGTACAAAGATAAGTAAACTACTGATATTTCTTTGTTCAATACATGAAATTTTACTAGTAAAGAAAATTGCCATACAGCTATGGTTTTTCTGCTCTAACAAACGAGGCAGCCTGGTCCTGGCTAACATTTCCGTAAAAAAACGTGGGAATTTACATATTATCTTTTGGTCTCACTAAGCATCAGTGTTGTCTTAAATTGAAATTGTCAAAAAGTAGTTTCTTTGTTTGTTGAGTCATGCTCATAAACCACAAGATTGTTATTCCATCCCATAAGAAGTCGTATGGGATGGAATAACAATCCAAATGCTCAACAGTTTAAGTGGGCACTCCGAGCACTGATACAAAAGAATGAAGTGACAGCCCCAGCAACTGCCAACTGCTCTATTGTAAGTGAAAGCAAGCTAGCTGAAGAGACACAAAATGCTGATAGGAGAGTTGCAGCATTATTAAACAGTTCCACTCTTTGGCATGATGATGTACTGACTATATCAGTGGATACATATCCAAGAAAATTACAAGTTGCATCAAGTGTGCTGAATGTGCAACTGCCTTAACCATAGAGAATGATGACCAACCTCTCATACCTGACCACTCATACTGTCATGAAGGTTCATTAAAGTCAAGCTTAACATCTTTCAAGACCTATGGCAAGCTTACAAGTCCATCCTCGTCATTGGTAAAAGTAGTAAAAGCAGCAGATAAAGCCCTTCGCAAAATGGTCAACAAGTGGAGTCAGTTGTCAGAAAAAACAATCCAAGTTATGCAACGAGATGTCCTGCAAGAAACTAAGCCAAATGTATTTCAATCGCTATTGCAGCATTCTAAGGAAACTCATGCACTAGATGAGAGCTTTTGCGATGACCATATCACCATCCTCATCAGAAAAATAGCATACATGTACAGTAAAATATTTGTACACCAGTTTTCCAAAGTGTACTCCGAGAGAATCGTTCGTAGAGGAGCTCCATCTAAGCGGCAAAAGCTGACAAAACTCATCCTTTTTGGAAACGATTAAGACTCTGTCTGTTAAGTGTCAACACATATTTGAAGATTGAAAGAACGAATAGCATCTTGAAGTGAAATTTATGTAAAAATATGAAGAATAATTTTCCCATCTTTTGTATGTATTCAATATGATGTATTTCAACGTGGACGAACCAGTATGGGAGCTAAAGCAGACGAAATCCGTTTATTTTGGTAGACAAACGCCTCGAGACAACCAAACGACCAATTTACACAACACTTCGCAAGAGATATTTTCGCACGTATTCCAATAATAATTGTCCAATATGGCTTCAAAACATTATTAATAACGCTTTGTTTCCAATAAAACTTGATTGGAGGAGTTTGAAAACACTGAAACGAAGTAAACTGCAAAAAACAACAATTGCCTAATAGTAGCCCCAAGTTTTTTGCCCGGTTCCCGCGCCATCTTGGATTTATCATGAATGTCACGCTGCCGTCTTAATAAGTCTTATATGACGTCACACTCGTTAGCAATCTAGTCCTACTATATCTATGATCTAGACCTACTATATCTATGATCAAAACACACTTGCTGATTCTGAATGAGCCTGCATTAGCTTTGGTGCGCGGTAATAATTTTGCATTGGGTAAACAAATATTTTGCACTGAAACATTTTAATAAGTTTGTTTTGACTCTTCTGTTTTGCATTGGCGGACTTTGAATTGAGATTTCAATACTTTCGTGCGCTTTGGAAACATTAATTTTGTTTTGTAATGTTAAAGTTTGCATCTGAAACATAGATGTTGCATTGAATTTATTATTTTGTGTATTGCACTTGTGGGCCACCGTAGTTCACAGACTATCTATGTCTTGTTTGTACACAATCCAAAATTGACCGTCATTATTTTACAAACAATGTATGGGTTGTTTAGTTAGAAGGTAAACCAACCATTTATGAGTGGTTTGCAAATAATGCGATGATGATATGCAAATCACATCTGGCTTGTATGCTTATAACAAATTATTTAACTACGTAATAATGAGAAACAACAATCATTATAAGTTAAAACATTTTTTTTACATCTGGCGCCCCATAATTAAGGAGTAAAAAACATTAAAATAGTACGTGCCAGTGCCATCACACTACAAGTACTGACAAACAACAATTTAACCCGACTCTTTGAATGACAAACAATATAATCTTGCTTACCCGTGTCATGAGATATTTCCTTTTCTTGCTCTACTTCGGCATTCGTATACTACAGAAGATTGCAGCATGTTTCCTCGATAAAATTTGAAAAAGTTTTTGTTAGAAAAAAAGTTTTAAAATTTTCTATCGTATAATAGATAAATTTGGGATGAAAATGCAGGTGGGCGGAAAAGTTTTAATTGTGAGAGCCTGCGCTCTTCCGCTGACATTTCATCCAAAATAAGCCATGTTTTTGATAACTGGCCGCGCGTTAATAAAATATAGTAATTTGGATGATGATTTCCTGTCCAGGTAATTACTATACAGGTCAGTGGTAATTACTAGTGAACTCTATAACAACTGGAAGGCTAACTTGCCGCCATCTTTGAAGCCTGCATGATCGCCGCCATTGAGGGTACGGAGGCGAAATAGATCACTTCGAAATTGCCGGATTATTTGCACATAACAGTGCTCTTCGAGCCAGCTTAATGTCTAAAAACCTTAAACAATGTTTAGACTTTTATATAAAACAAGTTTGAACGATATTTGTACATGTTTAAGCTTCTTTTTAGAAGGATGAAAAGCGAACTTTGTTTTGGCACGTGAAAACATGCCTTATAACTTGAATACAAAACTGACACCCCTCGTTTTTTTCATTAATAGGATATAAAATACACTTGCCTATCCTTATAATATTGTTTGAATCTTTGAAAATGAAGCTGTCAGTGCATAAAACGCTGTTTTCGGTAATTTTTGTGTTTCCAAATAAAATTATCTCGCCCCAGTCCTTTTTGAAAGTTCAGAGCGTAAAAAAAAGAAAAACACTTTGCAAAATATTTCAAAAAGTTAGCAAAAAAATATTTGGAGTTCGTTTTAAAAAAACTGTTATGCCATATTATTGTGTTATTATTAGTTGCACCATTAGAGAGACAATATTAAAAACGTGTCAATACCCACTTAAAAAAGGACAAAAACACAAATGACACTCCATTATCACAACTTTTGAAACACTTAAGCAAAAATTGTAATGTAATACAAGCATGAAAAAGATTATTAGTCTAATATTATAGAATCATCGTATATTTTCACAAATATGATCAAACATTTTAAACACACATCCTAAAATATAATATATTACATATACATTTATCATCATCTGTATTACAAGAAAAAACTAATTTTACAATCAATATAAGATACTAATAAAAATGACACTGATATGTATATTAGACTGGATAACGCATCTCTTGTGAAAATTGAAGCCGGAAGATCGATCATTTGCTACTGGCTTTATGGGGGGATCGGCCCCACTTTCCCATACTTTTGTATTACAAAATCACAGTTTTCGCGTTTTGATTCCTTTTACAAACTTCTGATTAAGGCAAAATTTTTATGACAAGTAGAGGAAAACCGGTAGAGAGTTTTAACCCTGAATCACTGTTTTTTGGCTTGGTAACGACTGAAAAATAAGATGGCAAGTTGTATTGAAATTTAAAAGTTGAAGGTGACGAGGACAATTTCAGCCGTGCGAGACATTTTTAGAAGATCAATACTTAAATTACAAATTTACAACAAAGTAAGAACAAAGGTATTCATATCTTCAACATATTCATCGATATTGAAGTTGTTCACATAGGAACTGGTTGAAAACTTTTCTTCGCTTAATGACAACAGAGGTACTTTAATTCGAAGATTTTGATGACGCACATCTCGTAGAGTTTGATGATACCGTTTTCAACTTACTATTGTTCATGGCTTTCTGATTATTTTTCTATGTCCATTTGTTTTGTTTCTTCACTGATATAATAAAGACGCAATTTGAAATTATTATGATATTAGCGATGTGAATAACAAAGTGTTGTTAAATAAGTAAATTTGTAGCAATCTTCCATAAACGTCATTGCAGATGAAATTTTGGTAGCAGTAGTAGGATTCTGTAATATTTCAACATTTTTTAAGAAGCAGCAGCTCATATAATTTCCAGTTTGTTTCAAAACAATGCAGGTCGAGCTTTTACTATCTCAATTTTCTGCCATTACAAAGCCAAGAAGACAAACTTTTAGGATTAAATATCTTTGCCGGTTGTTCTATTCCTTTCACTAAAACGTTGCTCGAATCAAAAGTTTGTAGAACGAATAAAAACGCAAAAACTGTGATTTTGTAATACAAAAGTATATTAAAGTGGGACCGATACCTCCCACGAAGGTCATAATCAGATAAGCCAACTTCTGGCTTCAATTACCTTACTATATTTTATACATGGTGCGTTATCCAGTGTAATATACATATCAGTGGTTGTGAAAATTCCTATTCGCTGCCATGTTTTTGATAACCGGTTCCAGACCCCTTTTCTCCTCGAGGGAATCTAGTAGAACCATTGAGTTCTATAAGACCTGGAGGGGAAAAGGGGCCTGGACCCCGTGGTCAAAAACATGGCGGTAATGGCGGATTTTGGTGGTCAAAACTTCCACTTTAAAAATTTTTTCAATATTCACTCCCTCCTGATTTCCAATACTGTTTATATGAACGATAACAAGTGAAAAAAACAATTACAATACCGACAGCATATCATGTCAAAATAATACTTCAGCATTACGTGAAAAACACAGTACACACACATCAAAATAAAGAAAATCGACGGTAGAGAAACGATCGTGACTAAAACACCACACGAGTACATACGAGTAACATACGAGTACATACGAGTAACATACGAGTACATACGAGTGACATACAAGTACATACAAGTAACATACGAGTACATACGAGTGACATACGACTATTTTCTGGTCAACAAATGAGAAACAACACAATTTCTTCAATACATTGATATTTGCGTTTATTTTTCCTTGTATTTGTGTGGACTTCGGGGCAACCATTTGATGGATTTAAATGCTGAAAAGGTATTTTACTTTCATACTACATTCATTTGTATGTTTTAGTTGAATTTGTTATAGATATTTTGTCGATGCGATTTGCCAGTATTTGAGCGCTTTTCGAAACACTTTCACCTAGGAAATACATATTTATGAAAGCGATTAAATAAACAACGTATAAATAATGCTTTCAAAACGTGCTATATGAAATAAATGTACATTATATATATTTGAATTAAATGAGAGTTGCACTGTGTTACGTATAGTCCTGAGACGGACTGTTTTTGTTGTTGTTGACTGACGTTTCGACAACCTTAGCGGTAGTCATCTTCAGAGTCAAAATGAATGTATAATCGCTTTCATAAATATGTATTTCCTAGGTGAAAGTGCTTCAAAAAGCGCTCAAATACTGGCAAATCGCATCGACAAAATATCTATAACAAATTCAACTAAAACATACAAATAAATGTAGTATGAAAGTAAAATACCTTTTCAGCATTTAAGTCCATCAAATGGTTGCCCCAAAGTCCACACTAATACAAGGAAAAATAAACGCAAATATCAATGTATTGAAGAAATTGTGTTGTTTCTCATTTGTTGACCAGAAAATAGTCGTATCTTACTCGTATGTATCGTATGTTACTCGTATGTACTCGTATGTTACTCGTATGTACTCGTATGTACTCGTATGTACTCGTGTGGTGTTTTAGTCACGATCGTAGAGAAACGCATATTTTGGATGTAACATTTAAGTTATTTTATGACATTTTAGCCTTTTAAAAGTGAAAATCAAACGACGTTCTTTACTAGACCTGTCAATCTCGTCAAACTTATACATTATTTCATGCTTTTGTGTGTTTCACTGTTTGTGAACAGTTTGGTGCAACTATTTTTCTTGCTTCAAATGGATAAATCTGTGTAAAAGTGCTCCTAAGGAAGTGAGAAAATGTTTGCTTCAGTCCTACAACATAAGTCAACTGAAAATTTACCATGGATAAGTATCATAAGTGTATTGTCGTTACCTGATAAATTTACTGAAAACTCATAAAGAAAGTATGTTGAACTAGAAGAGCTACAAAAAAAAATTGAAAACACTATATGTTGTTGGAAATTTGTATTTTGTAAACTGCTTGGCAGAACCTTGGGTCTATTACCAAACAGAATTACATTAATTTTCCATTGAAATTACAAATTTGGAAACTAAAGTCCATTGGTTTTTCTTTGTCAAAATAGTTAATTGACAGTGTAGGCCAAGAAATTTATCAAGTTCTATAGATATTATTGTGTATTACTTACAGTCTTTTGGAATTGTGTAATGTATGCCAAGAACAAGATATAATTTTTCAAAAATGCTAACCCCTTCAAGCACTACTACTCTTCTGTTTTGCTTAAACAACTTACAGCTACCAATACTAATTATTTATATGTACAAACTAACAATTGGGAATTAAATGATAAACAACTTGATAAATCTTTGTATTTTCCATCAAGCCTTTGAATTTGCTCCTTTTATCTCTTGGTAAAGAAATATTAATGAAAGACTTACAAATCAAGTTTCTCGAAAATAGTATTTTGTACAAAGAAACTAAACATAATTGGAAAGGTCACATGTTGAAGACAGACTTTGCTTCTTTGACTAGGTTGCTTGACCATCAGCAAATTTAAATTTGTTTACAATTTGTTTAAAAACAAAATAGTAAAACTACTACTGTGCTACTTACCGGAGTCAAGAAATGTTTCCTTTTCTGTCGCTATTTCAGCATCCGCAAACCACGGAAGCATGCAGATTGTTTAATAAATATAATTTTTAAAAAGTGTTTATGTTAGGAAAACAGTTTTGATATTTTCTGTACTCCAAATCGTGGTGGTCAAATCAGGGTGGGCGGCAAAATTTTTATTTCACGAGCCCGCGTCTCTCCGCTGACTTTGACCACCAAAATCCGCCATGTTTTTGACCACGCGCTAAAATTTATAGTAATTTTGTTGACGTTTCCCCTCCAGGTCTTATAGAACTCAATGAGTAGAACTCAATGGTTGCCCCACGTGGTGCCAATTTCACATATTGAAGACATTTTGGGACTAATTCGAAAATTTGGCAACATATTTTACTTATTTTGCGATTCATGGTGAATTATGGTTGTATGCTTAATGTTCAGAACATCTACATTACAAGACGGTCGTCAGTTATAATCCTGAGGTATAACATAAAGTCTTATAATTAGATAATATTTTATTGGTGTTATAAACTGGTCGATTTTAATGATCAACCAGCTCGTCTTTCTATTTAATTTTTTATGTATTCACTCACTGGAAAAGCAATAGATTCCTAAAGAAATGAGTAATGATGATGATCTGAAATTTACATAGCTTGACTAAAACTTGCCGTTTGGCTTTGCTACTGGATCAAACTCTTTTATTTGTTCAAGCATGTATAATTCTATCAAAACTTCAAAAACTTAGCTGTCTAGATCTTCTATAATCTATGAAAGCTTCTTAGTTTATATATGATTTAATATTTTAATTAGTTGTTCCAAAAGGGAAAACTATTAAAGATGCTAGCAAAATTTATATGAATAGGTAGCAAGTTTTGTGGTTAACTTACACACACTCCTAACTAGTGCAATTTAGTTATAAGTACCTATATTCCACTTTTTATGTTAGTTAAAGAAAATATCACCTTGCTGTCTCAGTTTTGCATTACATTTTTTTTTAGACTGAGAAAGCATTTTTTAATTCCAAAATAGCAAATTGCTATGGCACAAGAGGTGGAAAGTTACTCTTTTGTGGATTGGCCGGTACAGTACTAGATTTAAATTCATAGATAGCACTAAGTTGAAGGTCTCAACAAGAAGCCATACTCTTAGAAGAAATGCTGTAGTATTCAATTTATTTGCAATTGGAGACTGATTTTTTTGCTGTGTCTTTTACGTTCAACAAGAATCCTATTTTCTATTGGAATAATGAAACTGCTATTTTATAAGTTATCGAAATTCCAATTTAAAATTAAACTGTAGTTTCTTTGCCTTAAGCATTTTTCCTTACAAAGTGTGGTTTCTATTGAGTTGTGCTGGCTTAGGTATCCAAGCTATTTTGCTTTGCAGAGATTTCCACCTTGATTCTAGCATAGCAGTATGTTGCTCAACATGCAGTATATATTGAGAATGTTATTTTTGTCCTTTAAAAAATGAGTTGATTATGTCACAAAAGAGAACTCATCATTATATGTTATGTTTTTGGAAAGACTACATATGAAAAACATAACAGAATTGAAGCACAAACAATTATATGTTAGACTGATTGAAACATGAAAAAGTGTACAAGGAGGCTTACAAATATATTTCTCTAAATTCTGCTTTCCTATATAATCAGACTTGCCGATCATTGAGGAAATAGCCTTACTATTTTTCACTAAATTTAATGGAAATAGCCGCAATAGGATCAATAAATTTAAAGGAAATAGGCTTAACACACTTTGATTGTTTATTACTTTCCCCATTAAATCAGAAAATGCTGAATTGAAATTCTTATATAAAATGGTATATAGAATACACTACAATTATTTATACAATACTTCATTACATGAATGAGAGTGATGTCAACAACACTGCAACTCAATACTAATGTGCATTTGGCTTTCCATGCATAAAAGCTAACAATGATGTTATACCTGAATCTTCTTGTTGCACACATTTGGAAAGATGTCAAGTCGACTGAAAAAATACATTGCATAAGAAACAAATTTCTTGACTTTGCTACAAATTTTACCATAAACTTGGCGTTGAAAAGCAGCGTGCTCTTCAATGTGCGCTACGTCAGTGAGCTAGATCCTGCCACAGCACCTCGCAGTCAAACAGGAAAAAACCTATATTTGACGCCCAAAAAGTCAAGGAAGATCAAATTTTCGTCTTATAAAATATATTTAAAATGTTGTTAAAATAGTCAACTCTGTCTAAATAGATAATTTCCCTGAGGGCGATAAAGCACTTTAAATGTCGATATTCTTGTGTCTGCTATGAAAGTTATCATAGGAAATGAATGTTAATTCACTTAAACTTGCCGAAAACTAGACCTTTTTTATCAACTGATGCAAATTTTATAACGCGCACATATAAATTGAGCATTAGTGCATTTTACATTATCCTAGCGTAGCCTTGTTAGTAATTTAAGTAGGTGAAATTTTATGTCAAAAGGTTTTGCAAACAAAACATATGTTAAACCAGGGGCGGATCTAGGATTTTTCAAACATCAGTCATAAAACGTCCGAGGCGCTCCGCACATGGGGGTCTGAGGCATTCTCCCCTGAGAAATTTTGAATTTCAGAGCCTTGAAAATGCCATTTTCAGCGTTTTAGAGCAATACAAAATGTATTTTGTGGGCAACGTTTTTGCGTAATAACAACACATTTTGCTTACGTTTTTCAAAAACAAAATGAAGTGAACAATACTTGAATGTTTTGCCAAATATCTAGGCTCATTATCATGCCAAATATATGGCTCATTAGCATGTCTAGGAACGTAAAATTTATTTTACAATAATGCTATTCAAAAACAGATACAGTCTTTAAAAATTTCTACCAAGTTGTCAGGCATAGACCCCCCTAGAGACCCCCATTCAAACCTCTATGTAATGAGTTATATTAGATATTTGGTACTACAAGTGACAGTTCATAGATATAGAAAAGCTCAGACTTCAAACCATGCAAGTTTATTGTAACCCTTTACCCATCTCCACATCAGTGCCAGCAAATTCACCTTTTGAGAAAAAACTCAAAATTTTTTTCTGCCAAAGATTAAGCAAAAATTATCAGAGTGAAAATTTGCAGTTAAGGACAGCTTAATGCCATAAATGTTTATTAGGCATTTCACTTGACTATTATTTTCTGCAAGGTGTGCTATATAGCAATCACTAGTAGCATTGTATTATCAAATACAAACAGAATGTAACTAACATGTCTTTAATTATATAATTACATGAATGTTAAAATTGGTTCATGTGTCATGCTTACTGGTTATGACAAATATCTTTTCATATGATCAAAGCTCGTTTAAATGTAAATCTGAAATAATTTAGTTTAGAAATTATAATGATCATCAGAAAAATTACTTAGTGATCATGAAAAATTGCTGTTTTGCCAAATTTCAAAGTTTATCTGCATACATAGGAGGACATTTTTACTTAAATATAGAAAATGCTTTTCATACATCAATAGCCCTTTGGAATTTATGGCAAACAATCTGGTATGAGCCGTAGATTAACACACCTTTACATCTCTACATGAGGTGTTCAGTTAGAAAAGGGGACAATATGTGACATGGGACAACATTTCATGTATGTGAAATATTAAGGCTTAATACCATTCCAGTCAAATTGTCAAAATAAAAAGCTTCATGGATCAGAAGACTCAAAATCACAGGTTATAGTAAACAGCTTCTCATGTAATCAATGTTAGTTTTCTCAAATCTTAAACAATATGTAGTATAACTGTCTAATGATTGAATGATCAATGATCATAAACTGAAAAGCCCCAAACATTTGTTTATGATAAAGTAAATATGAGTATGGCGCCTTATGGCTACAGATTTTTTGTCCATTGAAATATATTTGCAGGAATGTACGATTTCGCTGCCATATAACGGCAACGATTCCCCAAGCACTAAAGAAATCATATCTAAAAGTCCTTCGGCAACAACAATTTTAGAAGCATCAATCTGCTTACCATACGCCATATTGACATAAATCGCATCACACACTCGCATAAATTGACTTTGATATATTACATTCATGCATACATACACTTCAGTTGTCCTTTACTTACGATTTTGGATGTAAATTTCTGCTGATAAAACTCAAAACAATGTTGGCTTGCTTTTTAACATCAAGGACCGAAATGTCGCTCGCGAGATCGTCTTTGCCAAGCATTTACAATTCATCCATAAATTTTTCGCCCGCTTGAGAAAATTCACAGTTTGGACAGCAGCATTCATGTCAATATATGAATTTGTAAAAGATTTCCATAAATTCCATCTGATTGTAGTTTAGTTTCTATCATGCTTATAAAAATTACTATGAAACGATCAAACATTCAATTCAGACAGTGAGCTTGACTATGTTAGTTCAGTTGGCTATCAGTCGAAATCCGTCAAACCAATCACAATAAAACAAAAATTCAAATGTGAACCAATTGTAAGATAGCAATTGGACTCCCTTATACGTCCGGCCACCCTTATTATCGGTCGAGACCATTCCAGACTGTCCACTGATCTGGCCATTGACCAATAAAATAAGCGTTTTGGCGCTCATAGACTCCTTTATCCGTCGAACCAGTCAAGCCACCCCGCTTATCAGTCGGTTATTCCAGGTCAATTAAAATTCAACTGATCTGGTTACCAAGGAGCTATTCATTGATTTAGTCATTAGTTTTCAATAATAAATAAAGCTGGATTTTTATCACGAAGTAAATGCGATAATAAAGTAAGAATAATTAATGATTTTTAACTAATATGAATAGGTAATTTTTGAATTTCAAACATCAGTCGCGCGACGGATTTGACATACTCTAGATCCGCCCCTGTGTTAAACTCTTGAGAAATACAAATCATAGTTCTTTAGCCCGCTTGAGCCGCCCTCTTGGAATGTTCAATTTGCCACTGCCGCGCGATGTGCGTTAGCAATCTAGGCTCTATTGCATCTATGAAATAAAACATGGCGACCAACTAATTTGAATACGAGGGGAGCGAAAAATGTTGTTGGAATCATCCACAAGTAAATCCATGATGTCCAACTTGCAGAATAGTGTTAAGCAGCCTTTAAAATATACATTTATCACAAAAATGAATTGTCCCCCAAAACATTAAGTGTTCATAGCAATATCTGCCTAACTATTTGAACTATAACATAGGTGTGAAATCATAAAAAAATGTTCTTGCACATTTCTAAAAGATTATCTACAATGTAGCTAATTGGGAAGTATCGTAAGCGATACAATCAAAGAATTTAAGATTTGACTTTTAAACTTATAGGTGCAAGTTTTTGCTGTTGATTATGCTGGAGACCTCGTCGCACTGCCGGGGTAAGTGAGTCAATAATTGTATTGCAGTCTTATCAACTTTTATTTAGATAAAAGTTAAATAATAAAACTTGGCCTACGAGAACATGAGGCCGCCTTTATCTCCCTTTAATTGAAGAAAATATTTATGCCATACATAGCTGGCGAATTGTTTGAATCACCAGTGACAAAACTTTTTGAAGAGTGTCATTACTTATTAAATACGAAAAAGGCAAATTTCATTTTAATAAAACTCTTCAGCATAAATTTATTACTGACCATAAAAATTATATGATATCACCGTTTTACTATCATATTTAAGAATACAATAAATCTGACTAAACTGTTAATATATTTTCATCAAGTATTAAATCATCACTTCACATTATAAAAAATAGAACTTTAAAAGTCCTACAAAGCAAGTCTTCGTTCAATAGCCAACACGATAAACTAGTAAACTCGTAAAAATGAGTTATGTTTCTCTTGAATATCACTAAGACGCTAACATTCTCCAACTTTAAATTACAATATAAAAACGTGCTTTCCGTAAAGGTTACACCATGACTTGCTAATGTGAATTTTTGTCATCCTAACAACGCTGCCAAGAAACTTTGCACTAAAAAGTAATTTAGATAAGTTTATTTAAAGCAAGACACCAGCTCTGTGGCGTTCACTCTGGTTAAAAGTTCCATGCAACATTTCAATACTGTTTAGCTCAGTATCGATTTCGTGTATATATTCACATCTTGCATTAAAGTGCCTCTTTCAACAAGAAGTTTTAATTACAATGTTGATTTTAGATGTGATTTCCAATGTATCTGTGAACAATTTTTTTGTGCAATAATAAAATGTAATATTTGTGGTTTATGTTTAAAATTAAAATATAAAAAAGTTCTCACCATATTTTGCTTTTGGCAATTAAAACCGCAACCATGAGAGTGAACGTTAAAAATGAAGATGCACAGAGAGAATGGAAGAAGAAATTATTTGATTAAACAGAGAAAGTTGTTAAATAAATATCTTTCTAAACAGTCTAAACGTAGGCGTATTTTTAATTTAAAATATACGTTGAAGAGGTATAAATACATATACACAGTAAATGTTAAATTTTGCTGAAATTATAGCTAACCAAAATTGATATATCAGAACAAATAAAGTATATGCAGAAACGTTATTGCCAACACTTAATCCCAAAGCATTCCTCTCCTTATTGTTTAGTTATATTTCATTTTGCATATCGTGGCACTAAAATATTTCTACACAACTTACTAGTTTTTAATATGCTAAATTAAAATCCGAAGTGTTCCCGCTCTCTAGACTCGCATTTTTTTGATAATTTGCTTGATATTTTTACTTAATTCTCGAATTTTGACGGTGGTCCGCCATTTTAAAATTTGGTTTTTCCAAAATTAACATTCACTCAGGATGACATTTCGTCGATGAAATTTTGCATCATCATTTGTAAACAATTGGCTATTTAATAGAGTTAAATAAAGCTGTCGTAAACTTGCAGGAAATAATTATTGTAGTTTAGCAGTTTGTTAGATTAGAAATCGGGAAGCAAAACGCATCATCACAATTTGGGAAGCTCGAAGATTCAGAAACCATAGCGAAAGACGCTTTAGGAAATTAACACGACTAGGCTAGATGAGTAAACAATTTTTATCTTGATATTTTCATCATAAATACGTAATAGTTTACTTATCATTTTATATAAATAAGACCAATGTAACTTAGAATAAACGCATTAGACATTAGAACACAGTAGAAAACAGAAATCTTTGGAGAACATCAGACCATCAAAACAGAAAAACGGGAAGATCATCGGTATATCAAATGTGATTTGTAAACAGTTCTATTAAAATCAGTTGAAACTTATCGTGAATTGTGAATTGTTGGGCGAAGCAAGAGAGGCACTCACCAACAAAGCATGTCTTCCTGTAACTGCATTTGTGTTATTCATTTTTGGGGGGAAAGGGGAGCAAAACGTTTAACAACAGAAACTTTGTCAAAATAATTTAAAGAAGGAGGGAGTGGTTAAGCTTTGCGAGATTCATTCAAAGAGTTTACAGACGTTGCTCAAAAATCGCTTTAATTTTTTAGCGAGTCGGAGACTTTCGATTTTGATAATATCCCCCAAAATTTTGTTTATCATGTTCAATGTCATCGAAATTTTACTGATAAAAACCAATATCGAAAGAGCCAAAAAAAAACACTCCGTAATGGTTCTCGTAGGCGTTCCATTTGTGAAACAACACAAATAAAGAGAATTTAGTGAACACGTCTAAACCGCAAAAGTACGTCGAACAACCTGGCAATCATGTGGAACGTCTTATCAAAGCAGTAGCTAGTCAAATATTTTTCAAACAATTTGCGTGGCGTGCAAACGTCCTGGTCCAATATGCATAACAAATAAGATGGCAATTTTCATCTTTTTTGAAAAATGTTGTGTTTTGCATTAGAGTGTGTGTTTGCGTTTGCGTGAGAATTACCATTCTTAAAATTTGCAATTGATGAGTCTATATAGATCACAAAGGAACGAACTGAGCAAATTTTATCAGTAGCTCAAACAGAGTCCGCAGGAAAGTTAGAAAAAGCAGCGCAACTAAGAAAAAATAAAACTATTCTGTTGCACATTCGCGACAGATACTGCGCTGCGATTGAGGCGAGATACCATGAAAGAACTACGTTGAATGCCTTGATCGAAAACCGACACACATTGGGACAACGTTGTTTAATGGTGCATTTGACGAACACGCGAAACCCTGGCCAATACGAAAGTATCCAGAATTCTAACGAAAATTTGGCAAATGAGACTGATAATACGACTGAAAGAGATGGTTTAACTGAAGGTTCAAATAATCAAGCGACGATGGAAATTGTAAACGAAGGAAATATTAATGGCAATGTCATGAGTGACAACAGTGCGACGACGGTTCATTTTAAATCAAATATGCCGAAGCTTCCTAAGCTGGAGCTTCTGAAATATGGTGCAAGTTTACGGAGTGGAGTTCGTTTTGGGAACTGTATGATTCTGCGATTCACAATAATCCAAACATTTTAAAGGTAAACAAATTCAACTACCTGAAATCGCTTCGCGAGGGAAACGCAGCGAGTCCATTAAGGATCTAGCATTAACTAATGCCAATTACGACTCTGCTGTAAGAATCTTGAACGATCTCTTTGGGAAAACCCAGCTAACCATAGCCGCTCACACGGATGACATTTTATAGATTCAAGCTTGTGCCAATGTTACAACTAGCCAAGTAAGATACATATACGATAAAGTAAGCGTTCAATTACGAGGATTATCGAGTCTTGGCGTTTCTCTTGAACAATATAGTAGTATGCCTATCGCGATTATTATGACTAAATTACCTAGTGACATTCGTCTACAAATTGCCCGAAAATTGTCGGGAGACGTATGGAAAAATGATGTGTTGTTGGATACAATAAAAACTGAGTTGGAGGCACGGGAGATAAATGCAGGAGTGCAATCAAGTCCACAGCCACAGCATGGAAAGAATTCAGGAGGTCAGCACCAAACACCCAGAATACCTACGGCGAACGCCTTTTCGACTCAAGATACTTCAGGTAAACATATTCCATGTGTTTATTGTATGGAGCCACACTTTTCGGCATCGTGTTAATATAGAGTTACCAATTTCAATGATCGCAAGAGTATATTGCATGAGGAGAGACAATAGCTATTTTGTATGCCTGCGAATCGGGCATCTCAGTAAGATTTGCGAGTCAAACAATAATTGCAGACGTTGTCATGGGGCTCATCATCAATCGATTTGTGAAGTAACCATTGAACTAAATAGATGGAAGGCTACCTCAGTCGATATTTTGAAGCCAGTAGCGCCCAGTCTTTCCACGCAAAGTAAACACCCGGCCAATAGTAGCGAACGAAAAAATAACTTGTACGAACTACGAAGCTCCGAAAACAAAACAAAATCCTTTTTTTTTATTTGGCAAACGAAATTTTCAAAAGAAACTTAACATCAAGCATACACAATTTTCGACCATTAGTTTTTGTAAAGGAAGCTATAGCTAACCATAACTAGCATTTTGCTAGAGTTATATTGTGTTTTTTGTGTGTCTGTAAACATAACAAAAAGTTAAAAATTAAAACGTTTTTATTCCAAAGGAGCCACTATTATGCGCAAGATACTTATGAACATCATAAAACATAAAAAAGCGAATTAAATTTTGAACAAACATCAGTTTTGGAAATTTATTTTTATCCGAAACCATTATTATTAGTTCGACGTACAAATTGAGAGAAAAATACAATTTTTAGTACTAACTTACACGAGATTTGCTTTTAAAAGATAAATTAAACTATACCCATCACATGTTAGATGACTTTGCACCAGCGAAGGAAATCCTCCCAAAGCGTTTCATTTTATATATATCGAATAATTTTTTCGCCTTTCATAACTTCAGTTAATTTAGCTTTGTGAAAAACATGCATACGTGCTACCGGATTTCGAACATCATTTTTACAAAAACTGTTTTCTGTAAAATGGTTTAAATATAAATCCCGAAATATTCCAAGGAGAAACTCATGTAAATTATTGGATGCATCCAGTTGAATTTTTTTCGAAATAAACTAGTACTTGATGCAATGTTTTCGATGTGTATAAAATAAACGTTGTCATTATTTTTCACCGTTTCCACCCTTGATAGTTATCATTTCAAAATGCGTATTCAGTGGAAAGCATCATAATTGACTGAATTAAGACCAAGCCCCATCACTCTTAATGCCACAATATTTTTCTACGTTTATTCTTTGAGCAAAATCAGACAGAGTCTTCGGTAAAAACATGTTTCTTTAACAAATCTCGCGTACCCTGTAGCTTCACGCGTGTGATACACGTAAAATGACGCGTGTCTGGAGGTCAAATTTGGCTTTACAAATTATTTGGCTATTCTATTACAGGTAACCTTCTATATATTATAGTTCAATGGAAGTAACTAAGTCAAGTTTTACGCCTCCTCAACAAAAGAATGGAGATGACTCCAAACTTTCCATTAATGGAAAAAACCCAGCTGAAATCAAGGAAGGAAACAACGTTCGAACAGCGACTATGAATGATGGAGACAATAAGTTAACGACGAATACGACAAAAGTGTGTAATCAAGTTCTACATACAGCTATTACATACGCTAATAGCGGAAATGCTTCTATTTCGATACGAATTCATTAAGAAAAACGGCTTCGACTAGCTCCCATCAGAACAGAAGTTGTTAACATAAATAACTTTGATAACCAGCATTTTACAAAGAAAAATGCGACATGGCTCATTTGTCCTTGAAATGAAAGAATGGAAATCGACTTATAACAGCTGTTTGCTGCCCAAACATGTAATCCCCATTCACAACGATAATTGATCTCACCATTATCCTCTTCTGCAGGACTTGCAGCTTTCTGATACCATTGTACTCTCTGGACGACAGACGGACAGCAACATCGGCATTCTAATTGGAGCCGATTATTATTTCGATATCATGACAGGCGAGATTATTAGAAGTGAAGGTGGTCCTGTTGCGATTAATAGTTAATTTGGATGGATTATTCCTGGCAGACGAATAATTTTGAAACTAATTCAAAATTGTCAACGTTAATTTAATCATCGAAGATTATTTGTCAAAACAAGTTCTGTTCCCTGTCGAACAGAACTTGTTTTGACTAATAGTAATCTAGAGAACCCAAATTACATGAATTACATTGGTTTTGGGAGATCGAATCAATGGGAATCAAAGAATCCAACAAATCAATGGATCAAGAGTTTCTGAAGAATATACAATATCTGGAGGATGAAGGGAGATATGATGTGAATTTTCCTTGGAAGGTGGGTGATATTCCGGAATCAGACTGTTACGGCATGTGTTTGAAACGATTACACCAATATCTCGTCTTGATAAAGATAAATCCCTACTGCAATATTACGATACAATTATCAAAGATCAAGTTGAAGGAGCAATTATCAACTTTGTTCTTTTTGCCCATGAAACCGGTTATTTCTACCCCCATCATGGCGTACTTCGAGAACATAAGGAAACTACAAAACTTCGCGTGGTTTTTAATGGTTCGGCAAGAGCTACTAAGGAGGAACCGTCACTAAAAGATTGCCTCAAAAAGGGGGCCAAATTTTGTTCCATGCAACCAACTGAAAAAAGTTACTAAAGGAGGTGTAAGAGGCATGAACCCAATAGCCTTCTGTAAATCAGCAATGACAGTTCAAAATTTGTCTACCATAAATGTTCTGTAACTTTAACCAACTATTGTATAAGACATAGAATGTACATCATCAAGCACTCAAACATCACCACAGTGTTTGAAAGGAACACCTAAAAAAGCGAAGAAAGAAAACTATACAACCAAAAAAGATAAGAAGACTGCAATCAGCCTTAGGGGTTGCTAAAGAAGGAAAAACTGCAAGACAAGAAAAAGCACTGGATGATGCTCTTCAAAAGCTAACTGAGAACTTGGCAGCATTGGTAAGAATGCAAATAAAGTTACATAAGACACAAGCTAAAGGCAGAAGATACTCACCCCAGTTAACGTCGATGGCCATTTCATTATTTCATGCAAGTGGAAAAGCATATAGAATGCTCTCAAAAATCTTCATTTTACCATCAAAGACATCACTTCATCGGTATCTTGGTAAAATGCCCACTCAGCCTGGAATTACACAAGCATGCTTAAAAGTAATTAAGAAAAAGTAAATGAAATGTCCCCAATGGAAAAAGTGTGTACCTTATGTATGAATTAGATATCTTTAAAATGCAATTTGTCTCACAACCTGCAAGAAGATAAGATCATTTGTTGTGAAGTTTTTGGAGGAGGATATATAACAAACAGGGTTGGTAAGTCAGCCTTGGTCTTTATGATTCGCAGTATTTCTGGAAGTTGGAAACAACCAATAGGCTATTTCTTGGTGAATGAAGCATGTTCTAGGAACATCCTTGAAGATTTGATAAAAGAAGCAATTAAGAAGCTTGAAGGCATTGCCTTGAACTATGGATGTCGTGCGATTATGATTCAGACACATACGGTAATCAGCATAACTGTTGCTCGTATAATGAAAGCGACGACGAGCAACATTAAATTTATATATATTAGACTTTTTTGAACTTCTTCTATTTAAGAACACGTTCTGCTTCGAGCAAAAAAGCCATCGACGAAAATGACATTATGCGTGCATCTCTTATATTCTTCTTAAAACTGACATCCTGAATGATGTGAATTTTGCAAAATTTCAAAATGCCAGACCGCTGTCAAAATCATAGAAATTATAAATAGGACAAGAGGTGACATTGATGACGTTTTTAGGGAACGCGTGTATAGGGGAAAAATTTAGGTCCCGGATTAAAAAACGAAGTAAGCAAATGATGTTTTTGCCGTCTGCTTCGAGTATTGGATTCTATTTTATTATGTTTAGTAAGTTTTTTTGCTCTTTTGTACGAGCATCAAGAGAATTTGTCGTTTTAAAGCGTTAGTAATTGTTTTTTAGCGAGCTGTTATTTTGATTTTATGTTGTTTATAATCTCGGTATACTTTGTATGCTTAAATTAAACTATACGCAATAAAAACTTTTGTTATTCTTTTCTGTTTTCTGTTTTTACAACCCACATATACACATTGTTCAACCGTTTTTAATATTTTTCCGGTATGGATGACAAATATATGTTTTTTGAAGTCTGTTAGCAGTTGAATTAAAGACAAAAAAGGTCTTTTTATCAAGCAATGACTCACGGAGTTGTAATTTACTTAATGAGTACAAAAGCAACACAAACATGTTTTGCAAAATACCATCTAAAATTACTATAGAAAGGCAAGAATTATTCAACAAATAGATTGTTATAGTATTCATTATAGTATTTACGCATAATTTATAAAAAAGTCAAAAAATCCTAGTTTTCCACGGTAGCTTAACATCCGGGAATGAATTTTGCCCCACACAAAACGCGTACCATATTTTGAACTATAGATTATATTACGATGCCACCTCTGGTCTTATTTATAATCTCTATGGTCAAAATTGCAGAATTAAGTAAAAATATCAGCAAATTATAAGAAAACTGCCGGCCTAGAGAGCGGGAACTCTTCTGATTTGAATTCATCGTATTCAAATCTGGTAAGTTGCGTAAAAATATTTTTGTCCCGCGATATGCACAATGAAAATGAACAATATCGCTACATGGCCTATTAAAAAATTAATTCGTTTAGAATAGCAATTGACATGAATGTGATACTTTCTTTTTGCAGTCGCGGTGGCGTTGCTGTTTTGGATCTATCTAAAGGTATATCTTGTGTTGGCAAAATAATACGACAGAGTAAATGGGATTGCTCAGCTATCGAATGGAATCCACATCAAAATTACCGTTGTCAACTTGCTTCCACAGTAAGTAAATGTATACAATGCAGGAAATTGAGAAGGAATAGTGGCGTTCCCTAAGAAGGGATTGATTGATAGTTTTCTAAATAATATCACTAATCTTCAACTTTGGTAAAATAGTAATCTTGAACTGCGCTTATTTTGCCTGATCTCAGATTTCCCCCGTTATCATTATCACATGGCGACGCATATGTGCGTTTAGGGTATTTTATACTATCCGAAAGAGCGATTTAGATGTGCTTTCTATTCTCTCTTGGAGGGCACTGCTTGGGGTGCGTGAAATACATATTAGTGGTGCGTCTGAATGGTAACATAGTGTGCAATAACTCTTTCATTTATACAACGCTCAATTGTCATAGTTTTTCGCTTTATTACTTTCTCCAGGTTTCGTGTGGGACGATAAAGTCGTCCTTTCCTACAACTAATTTATTATTTAGCAAATACATACTTCCTCAATTTCTTGTAGTATTGTATATGATATATCGCAAAAAAATCAAAGGGATGAACCAAATGGGTTAAGTCCTAACGTTGTGTTAATGTTAACAAAAGAATTCAGGAACAGACTGATTGAATGTTTCTTGATCGTAGGAGAATATGTTTTGACCAATTATAGGGAACTTTGGGAGCATGGATTGTTAGATTATAAGCTTATTTTTGGATTAGTATTGGTTTTACAATAAGCTAAAAACAACAACTCTGTATATAGACACACCTGATGTATGTAAAATCGTTCGATGTCACGAGTCTACTGATTTAATATTAACTCTAATAAATGAAGTACTTTATATTATTTAACACCCCCCTCCCTCATACGTATAAAACTGAATAACGCAGCTTAGTGCTTGATTTGAAGCCGGGCGGCGGCCATATTGGACTGTCCACTTTTTCAGTTTTTATATACGTTTTATATAACAAACTGCTACTCTCGCATTTATTTTGGATCATCTGTTTCACTCTTAGGACGAAAAATAATCATTATGATGACAAAACTGTAATAGAACGGTTTTAGGGGGAAATTCAAGTTCGGTAAATTTCATATAGAAATTTCTCCTGTTGTCAAAATATCATAATAAAAGATTTCGCATGATTTTGGATGGAGAAAATAACAAAAATGCATATTCCAGGAAAAATTCATTATAAAATATATACTAGAAGTGGACAGTCCAGACTCAGCCTGCTCATGAGAGTCTGTTATATAGTTAACTAAATCCCTAAAAGTGTTGCTCGATGTTTTTCAACTTTAACTTGAAATAATGTCTTCGTAAGAATGTCGGTTGTCATTTTTTCGCTTGGAACGTAACTGGTCTTTATTTTCTTGCTTTTCACTCTTTCTCGAATGAAGTGTAGTTTCGTATCAATGTGCTTTGATCGTTTATACATTATGGGATTGTGACACATTTCTATACCAGATTGGTTATCTTCTGCAATATTGGTTGGTTTCTTCATTAGCTAACCTAAATCTTTCATTAGTGCTCGTAGGTATATTGCTTCTTGTACAGCTGCCGCCATGGCTTGGTATTCTGCTTCGGTTGACGAAAGTGCTGCAGTTGCCTGTTTCTTCATATCCCAGCTGATCGCAGTTGTTATTTGATTGAACAGTATATACGAAATTCATTCCCCTCAAGGTCAGAATCGCAAAACATATAAATGTATTCAATAATTATACTATATTACTTATATAATTGACGCAAATTATCGAGATATGCAAAGATATATAAAATAAAATTTACAAGATTTTCCTTTCGCTACTCGGAGTTTCACATAGATGGACTATATATATATGTGAAGAAAATATACGACTACGAGATATGCAAAGATATATGTCGCTTTCAAGTAAATAACAAACCAAATTTTATACTGGGTTTTGACAAGTTTTTTCATAAATTGTACTTGCACAAGGGGAGAAGATATGCTATGCTAATATGGTATTCTTCAATAATAGCCTTAATAGGTAACATTATTAATCTACTACAAGTTCTATGTACAGTAAATCAGCTTATGTGTTGTATGAAAAATATCATTTGGTATTTGACCAAGTAAAATAATATGGCATCTGAGAACAGTGCCTATCAGGTTGTTAATTAAGAACAGACACTACATTTTTCTCTGATCACTGATGTAACACTTAGTCTGTTTCAGCACCTGAGTTTTACTTACAGTAGACCTCCTTTTTCAATACTCGTGTAGAAGTATACCAATTGCATAGTAAGTGGATGTGTCAATCCAGGATAAAGAGAGTCATAGATTATCACTTATTGTCCATTTGACTGAGCAAAAAGCCAGTGACCAAAAAGATTATGAAGCTGGATTATAGTAAATGGTTTGAACCTGGGAGTATCGTTATATGTTTGTAAATGATGATCGTCCAGGTTAATAAAGTCCTGAGAAGGACTGTTTTTGATGTTGTTGACTGACGTTTCGACAACCTTAGCGGTAGTCATCTTCAGAGTCAAATGAGGAGTAAACGTCAGGTTAGCCGTATTTGTTGTCTGGTTCTTACGTCATTGTATTGTGTGTACAGGAAATGTGCAGGAAATGTGTATTGTCATTGTGGATTAGTGTGAAGTGAAATATTTTATTTTTAGTTGTGATGTGTGATTTAGGTGTAACGTTTTTAGTTGTAGTGTGTGGGTGTCAATGGTGTATTGTCATTGTGAATTAGTTTGAAGTGTAATGTTTTAGTTGATCGTTTGTTTGTATTGTGAATAAGTCGTTTGTAAGGTGCCGGTAATTGCTGTGATCTGTTCAGGGGTTTGTTCCAAGTTGGTATACCAACTTTCTAATGTAAGCCGTTGTCTATAGTCAGTACTGTAAGTGATGCATTTTGCCGAGTCCCAGTCAATGTTGTGCTTTGTGATTCGGTGATGTTCGGCAATGTGATTAGTTTTGTCTTGTTTCTTAGTAGCTCGTTTGTGCTCAGTAAGTCTTATGTTTAAGTTCCTGCCAGTTTCCCCGATATAGGAGGCGTGGCAGTCGGAGCAGTTTATTTTGTAAACTGCACCTTGTCGTTCGTTGGGTTGTTCTTTGTCCTTTATGTTCGTTAGTACTTGTCGTAATGTTGTGATTGGTTTATGTGCGACACGTATGTTGTATGGTCGTAAGATACGCGAGATAGTCTCAGACGTACCTTTGATGTAAGGTATCGTTGCTGTTGTCACTGAGTTGTTCGTTTCGTTGGGTTCGTTGGGTTTGTAAGTGTTGCGTTTGATAAAGTCAGAGTTATAGTTGTTTTGTCAAAACACGTTTGAGATAGTTGTTTTCGTTTTGTAGAGCGTCCGGTGAATCACATATGATTTGTGCACGTCTTGTTAATGTTCTGATTGTGGTGGCTTTGTGTGATGTAGGGTTGTAAGATGATTGGTCTAGTAGTCGGTCAGTATGTGTTGGCTTGCGATAAACTGTTGTTCCTAGTTTTTGATTGTCATGTTTTACCAAACAGTCGAGAAAAGGAAGAGTTCCGTTTTCTTCGACATCTTTGGTAAATTGTATGTGGCTGTTCTGTTTGTTGATGTGAGTATGGAAGTCATCAATCTCGTCTGCATGTAGTGCTGTGATTGTGTCATCTACGTAGCGAAACCAAAAAGGTAGTGCATGTTTGTAAGTCATGAGTGCCCGTTCCTCTATAGATTGCATTACAATTTCAGCAACTACAACAGAAACGGGCGAGCCCATTGCTGTCCCATGTAATTGTTTGTAGTGTGTTCCTTTGTATTGGAAGTAAGTCGAGGTGAGGCAGAGCTCTAGTAACTCCATAATGTCTTCTGTCGGTAATGGCAGTACGTCCGTGGTGTTTGTAATGAGGGTTTTTGTACAAGTAAGTGCCAGATTAAGTGGAATACTGGTGAACAGTGATTTCACATCAAAAGACACTAGTATATAGTTGTCTGGTATTTGTATAGTGCACAGTTTTTAATGAAAGTTTCAGTGGATTGTGGCTTGTGTTTTGATTTGTTTGTTAGTGGTTGCAGTATGTTAGTCAAGTACTTTGAAAGTTCGTAAGTAGGCGAACCACAGAATGATACAATTGGTCGCATGGGTATTTGTGGTTTGTGAAGTTTTGGTAGTCCGTATAGTCTGGGTGGTCGTGGTACTGAACATCTGAGTCGATAGTAAATACGTTCAGATATAATGTTAGATTTTCTCATAGAGAAGATCTTGCTGTTAAGTTGCGTACTAGTGATGGTGTTGGGTCTCGTTTGAGTTGTTCGTACGTTTGTCTGTCGTTAAAGTGCGTCCATTTTGTTAAAGTAATCATTCCTGTCCATGACCACAGTCACGCGTCCTTTGTCTGCTGGTAAAATGACGATGTTGTTGTCGTGTTTTAGTCGTTTGAGTGCTTGTTGTTCGTCTTTTGTCAAGTTGTTGTCACGTATAGAGGACGATTGTAAAGTGGAGGCTATCCTGCTTCTGATCTCGTCTTTTGTTGTTTCTGACAAGTCTCTTTGATACGCTAGGACAGCCTCGACACTTGATACTATCGTCTCAGTCAGGATTTGTCTAGGTGTTATGGAATGTTTTAGTCCGTAAGATAGTAGTCGCGTTTCAGTTTCGTCTAATGGGCGGGAAGAAATATTCCTCACCCAGTTATCGTCATGTTTATGTCTTGCACGTGTTTTAGTTTGTTTTAAACGTTCAAGTTTTTGTTGTTGTTTGATTTGGTGTTGTGTCTCTGTCTTGTTTGCTCGTTTCTCTGCAATAGTTTGTATGGTAGAAAGTAAAGTATCACTTACTGTCGTTGGTATGAGTTCCTTCAGTTTGTTCAGTCTTTGTTCTTGTTGTTTGATGTAATAGTTGATTCGTCTGTGACAGTCGTTAATCCGTGCCCGTATCAGTCGTCTGCTGGTGGATTTAATAATCTGAATAGCCTCTTGTGTGTTCAACGGAGACTTAATTCTAAGTCCTGCCGGAACGAGACCAAAATCCTTGCAGCGGTGGTTGAACCAGAGTTGTTGGCGTATGCGTCTGACGTTGCTTGCAAAACGTATGTAGTCGTTAGCAAGTTGTTC